TTTTAAAAAAAAAAGTGTCGATGAGAAAACGACGAAAATGACTTTCCTGATTAAAATTATACTTCGCCGAATATTCGTAATATCCCTAATATTAAGAAGTCATTTATAAAATTCAATTTCAGAAGAAAATCCACTTTGCCTTGCGACAATCACTAGATGCTGATCCATTCCTTATATTTTTCATCAAGTGTCCATAAATTATTAAAAACACACTTTCCTGGCATTTCTAACAATTTCACATTTGAATGAAGTATCAAAGCTACCACGTGTGCTGTCAGAAGAATTGAATTTCTCGAACCCTATGGATGTAGAAGGTCAATGCAGGTCTTCAGCTGATAAAGTACCTCTAAGTACTGTCTAAAAATAAATCAAGACCTCTACCCACCTGCAGTATCCCGCTCCCCACACTAAATTTTTTTCTTTCAGAATGATCTAGAATGAAATATTTTATTGAAAAAATTAATAAAAGAAAAAAAAACAATAAGGGCGTGTTTTCTTCCACTTACTTGTAACTTCTACCCTCAATGCAGGGTCTCATTCTAGGCGAAAGACGTACTTTTTAATTGTGGATATTTTCCTAAGATAAAAAAATTGTTCCAACTAACTAGTGATACTAGAAATTAAGGACTTTTAAGGACCGTGAATCAAAATTAAGTACTTTTAAGGGCCCTTAATTTTCAAAATAAAAACTAAGCAGTTTTTAAGTACTTTTAAGGACCGTGGGAACCCTGATTTAGAAAATTATGAATTCAAATTTTCTCAAATGAAATATTAGTAAATTTGCTTCCAGTTTTTTTTTTTTTTNGAATATGAATTCCTCAGATTTATGTGTTATTCAGCTGAGCGCAATTTATATGGAGGCAGCATAAATTTTTGCATTTAGAAAATTATGAATCCAAATTAAAATTTTCTCAAATGAAAAATTTATAAATTTCTTTTCAGTTCTTAATAATTTTTTTTAATATTTGCATTTAAAAGTATGAATGAAAATCATCAAAATTATAAATTGAAATATAGTAAAAAGAAAAGGTAATTACCTGTTTTTCCGGGCCTAAAATCGACTCATTAGTTTTTGACTTGCTTGAAATAAGCTGCAAAAAGACATAAAAATTATCAAATTTATAAAAATATGAAAATAAATATAGCCATAAATAAGCATATGACTCTTATAAAATTTTTATCTTGAAATTCCAAAATGCTTAAAGCTTTATCAACAAGTTTAAAAACAATCATTTAGTAGTTAGCAATATTTTTTCAGATATCAGGGGCATTAATATTGCTTTAAGGGTAGACAACAGAAAAAAAGATTTTATTTTTTTCTTGTCAACCTAAGAAAAATTATACCTCTGAAGATATATTTTCATTTATTCTGTAACTAATAAATATTTCTGAATAGTTTTATTAATTAAATTTAATTAACTGCACTTAGTTATCAAATTTTAAATATTACGTTTGTAAGTAATTCTAAAATTTCTAGATTTTTTAAAAATCTAGATTTAAAAAAAAAAAAAAACTTCAAACTTTTAAAAATACTAACTAATTTCAAATGAAAACTTCAGGTAATTAAGTTCAGTATAATAAACTTCATTGAACAAAATGAAACAAAAATTATTAAAAAATATTAATTAGTTACTGAATAAAAATGAAATTCTGGACAAAAGGACTCCATAGATTCAATGGACTATATGGAGGAAAACAAATCTCTTTTACAAAAAAAGATCAACTTAAAACTGGTTATAGAAATGGAAAAAAAATTTTTTTTGGTAAAGTTAAAGTTTGAACTCAACAGAATTGAAAGTTAAAATCTCAACAGTTGAGTTTCTTGAAAAATTTTTTTTACAGGCAAATGTTTCATCTTCTTAGAACAATAGAAATGAAAATTTGTTGCAAGCCATTTTTCTTTTAATTGATTTGAAAACAATTTTATGAAGTGGTGCTTTACCTTTCCAAGAGAAAAACTATTTGTTTATAGTTTTTACAGCTAATAAAAAGCTTTATTTTCCACACTTTTTATAAATACACAAAATAAGGTGAAATCATTTAAAAAATTACTAAAAGAAGATTTTCTTTTATCTTTCATATTTGTTTGAAAAAAATTGAAACATTTCTAAACAATAGGAAAAAAATAGAAAATCAAATACAATGAGATTAAAAGAATAAAAAAAAGTGTTTTTTCTTAATAATTGCTTAAAGCAAATAAGATAAATAATAATAAAGTAAACTACTAATACACTACTTCCTATTGATGAAGCAAAATCTCACCTTTAAGACACTTAAGAAAAAAAAAAGTCTAAAACTGTAATGAAGGTCACCATATATATATATATATATGTGTGTGTGTGTATACATATACATATAAAATACATATAATATATATATATATATATATATATATACATACAGTCAATTCGCTATAACTCGAAGTACGATAACTCGAATATTACTATAACTCGATTTTTTTATGAGGTCCCGACCCTTTTATCTTCAATTTCATGTTAATTATTCTCGATTACTCGAATTTTACTCCCTTTAACTCGATTTTTTT